GGGGGGGGTCGTCCACTGGCATGGACATTTCCACTTTCAATAATCATGGATGGAAGGTCTGAGTCTGAGAGCTAGATCTAGAATCGATACGCAAAAGCTGAGTCTCAAATAAGAAGAGCAAAATCAACCCAAATCGACAAGTCTAAACAAAAGTAAGACAGGCCTAACACTGAACTGACGACAAAATGTCTTTTAATAGCCTACATGATGTACATTCATGTGTTATGAAGAAGACAGAGATCTAAGTAAAGACTAAAGTCTAAAGGTATCCTACATGTCAAGCCTAGATTCTAGATCTAGATCTAGATCAGATTTTCACAAATTAATATTTTGGACAGGCTCAAAGCCAATGTAAATTGTAAAGTAAAATTAAGGCATGGCGATTTGAAAACGGTAGCCTAGATTCTAGTGCCAAGTTTAACATAAAACGATGCAGTTGGGGTAAAGGATTAACTTTGAAATTGAGCGGCTAAACAGCATTGGAGGTAAAACATGCAGCGGGAGAACTGCAGTTTATTGCGGCACACAATAACAGCTGAGCAATTAATTTGCCTGCTCGCTGCAGAAAGCGATGGTGCATGGCGCCCCAAGCTCAGCAGTTGCCAACGTGGGGGTCAAAGGTTGCTGAAAGGCAAAAGGATAATGGGTGGAGCTACAGAACGAGGTAAGTCAGTTAATTTATTCAAGGTTGAAGGCCACACAGTCAAGTTTCGATTTCTCAATTATCGAGTCAAAATACCACTAAAAATGAAAATAAATACGCACCAAGAACACTTATTGTCATCTTGCACAACTACATGGGGCACCACTGTCTGATACAAGGCTAGAAAACTCGTATTTTGTGGTGCAAATTGCTAAATGTGGGCGGGTCTAGAATCAGCTGGGACCGGAGTTCTCTCTCTTGGTGACCTCGATCAGCTGCTCAGAATGTGGTCCACCTGATTGCAGCTGACGATTAATATCGCACAATTCCTTCTAAACCAAACCAAATGTGGTATAAACCTTACTCAAAACAATAGAATACTGCATTTAAAGTGCATAAACTGGTACATTCACTTTGCATTTAGGTAACTTGAAGTTGTTTACAGTGCAATGTCAGTGACGTACGTGCAGCCGATCATCACCTGGACAGCTGATCAGGCAGCAGCTGAGTGATAAAACTAGGTCAAGCGACACTCACCGACTTTTCGAAGGAATCGTTGCCGTTAATGTCAGCCTGTTCGCAGCTCGCCTCCGACAAATGTGACTCACAGTGTTCTCCGTCGAACTCTGAATCCCAAAAAGAATCACTTGAAGATTCATATTCAGCAGGTTCAAATCGTTTCGCTCCGAGCGATGAAAGAGCTAGTTTGGTCCGTTCGGCGAGGTCCCAGTCCGTCTCTCCAGAGCTGTGTCGGCTCCTCGGGGGGCTAAAGTTTTGACTAATCACCCTAACCATGGTTGCTGGTGATACAACAAACTCCTCGTTCGGTGAGATGGGCAAATACTGGACTATCAGTCCCAAAACACTGTAACAAAATGACTTTCGGTACTCCTCTCAAGCCGCACCGGCTGCGTGGGATAAAAATAATATTCAGCTGAGCCTGCGCGCTGAGATGACCTCAAAACACCGGTAAACGGACCAATGAACGAAGCGTATTCTAACCTTGGGCTGGTTGATCATAAATATTCATGAGCTGATCACACATCCAGTACGAGATTTCTCTCCGCTGATGAAATCGGTAAATCGACGTGCTCTATTTCTGAGCTACACGTCACCCTTGCCTGACGTAATCTCACATCAACAAGGACGCAGTGGAAAACCCGTAAACCTATTTCACATCACTAGCTGCTGACAACTTTAATTTCATTCTAATAGTAATAGTTTAGATGAAATAAAAATATTGTTTTATACTCATTTCTGACAAGGGAGAGGGGTTGGGG